TGTGCTTGAGATTGCCCCCACCCATGTGCACTTGTTTCAAAACATTTAACTAGTTTGGCTATACAAATTACTGTAGGGCTTTTTTTTTTTTTTTTCCTCTTACATTTACCCTTTGCTTTGTAAGACAGCAGGTTTCCAGAATTCTCTGGGTACAGAAATGGTCCTAGCTTACACACACACAGAGCCACTCAGCTTCACATGAACAAATTCTTTCAATTAAAAAGCAGACCCTGCCTAAATAATGTGATCGGAGCAGCAAGCCAAACCCTGAAGGAGGTTGATCAAAGCCCAGGAAAACATTCCAAAACCCCCTTATTTCACCCACAGGAAAATATGAAAAAAAAATACATACAGGACATTGACTTTATTAAAAATCATGTCATGTGCTGAAAGCTGCACAAATCTGATATAATTTCTGGATAGGACTTGTATGCCTGAAGGAGTTTTTTTAGTTTTAACAGTCAATTAAAAAAAGAAAAAGAAAAGGGGAAAAAAAAAAAAGAAGAAGGTAGCTCCCTCTCCCTCAATCTTGTCCTGTAATTTCCCAGTATAGTTTCCAGGCCAAGTGAGACTGCACAGGTCGGTACTTTGGGACACGCGTGTTCGTTTGGATTTTCAAAACATCCTTCTCTCTCCTGTATTCTTTCACCTCCTCCCCTTTGCACCTGCTGTTACCTTTGTTATGCTTCTGATGACCTATACCTTATTCTAAATGTAGGTATGTATTAAACATGCCTGTGTGTATATAAATAGACACGTACATACACACAATGCGCAAACAAAAGCACATACAGAAACATACAGTAAATGCTTGAGATACATGTGTAGATTGGTTTCACGGAGTCACAGTTTGGAATCTTGTATTACTTCAGCTTGGTTTTACAGAGATGTTCACCTCTCTCCACCCCACCTCCTGAAACTCCTAAGGTGCTAATACTGACTGCTTCTGAGAGTCGAGCCAAGGAAGTTTATTTCTCAATCTAAACCTCAAACCCAATATTGTACTACCTTGGCATTAGCGCCCTGTAACCTCCTGTGTTAGCCTGAATCACCCTGAAGGTCAATATTCCAGCCTGTGATCAACAGTATGCTGCTTCAGATAGCGAGGATTCAGCAAATGCAGGGTCATCCACATCTTTGACAGTAGAAAACTAGAACTATATATAGAAAAGTTAGCTTTTTATCATTTTAAGACAGTATGTAGCCAGCTCAAAAAATGAAACCAGCACATAGGACACTGAGCTTACATCTATCGTCACAGAAGTCTGTCTGAATTGGACATGAAGTCATTCAAATAGTTTCAGTTCTGATCCTATTCTATCATTCCATTCACCTTTATTGCTTCCAGTGAAGATCTTCATGACCTGTATCTGAATAGCAATTCAGTTTGTAAAAAATTTAAATTTACAGTGGTCACTTGCCATAGCTTGCAATACGCACGTGAATGTCCTCACATCCTATCTGTGTATTATGTGCTGAACGACAACTTTTATTTAAAAAGGAATTCAAGAAATAAAATATTACAGGCATTAATAAAACTTTCCAAAGAATGACACAATAGTCCCACAACCCTTTGCTGAATTGAAAATGAAGCGATCTTCAAACCTCTTATTACTGTAGTAAAAAATCAAGTACTGTAACATAACACATAAGCTAGAGAAATTAGACTGGTAAATGAAGAAAATACTATTTTTCTTGACAGGTAAATCTAGTTGTTGTGGTTGCTGGAGCTTCTTTTCCTAGTCGTTAAGTCTGATAATATGTCTAACAAGGATTTCCAAGAAAAAAACCAACCACCTACTTTATTTTAAAAATAAATGTAGGTGTTATCCAGAAAAAAGTAGAAACTAAAGTTACTTTGAAAAGGATAACCAGACTAGAAACCACCAAGTGATCTGAAGGCTTGGGAACAGTTCACGTCATTTGTTAACATCGCTTTGAATCACCAGTCACGCAGAGCCGGTTTCTCTTTGCTGACGCTCTTGCTGGGATGACCTTCGTGAGTCTGTCCAGCAGGTGGCTTTGATCCTCTTTGACACGTACAAACCCTTCAAGTTCCTTCACACAGAAAACCATCAGTGCTGCAGTAGAAAATTAGTGGCTACATTTAAGTCATTATTTGAAGCCCTCAGAGCTTCTAGAGCATCTCCCCTAGAAAATCCCATTTCCATAAGTCGTGCAACCTGGAAAAGAAATAACATAGCACCGCTTTAAAAACAGAGTTTTATTTGCACTGTGTGTGCATTAGTCACGTTAACAGTCTCAGAGATCACTTTTCCACTGATTAGGCTGTTCAAAAGCTTACTTGTCCAGCAAGTAAGCAAGCATGGCTTGCACCGTCACAAAGGGGTACCTGGGACAGCACGCTTGAAAACATCGCCGCAGACAGAGATCAGACTGCCTTCTGAGAGTTTCTTCAAAATGAATTGTTTGTTGAAAATGCCACACCTGCATTTTCCTAGCTGGTCCAGTTTTGAAAAAAGAGTAAAATAGGAAGTATGGCACCACACGTGACAACTACAGTCTCGTGATTCTCAAAACAGCCTGAGTCAATGACATTTGATGGAAGAATTACCTGGGAAAGGGCATATTATGACAGTCATTTTGGTAATCAATAACCACTTGACCATCCCTCTTTATCATATCACGTACTTGACACCTAACCTTTTTGCTCTGTGCTGACAGACATTCCAATTACCACATGTAAAAAGCAAGGTAGGTATAACCAAATTTAATTTATGATTAAATCCCCATCTAAGTACATTTGACACCTACAATTCTCAATTACATATGACTGAAAGTCACCATATAACTCATTCACTTTTCCATCGAGAGGAAAAACAAGAGGGAGGGGGGAACATGAAATTAACTATGGCCACTGGCAGCGTAAAGCATTTCCCACCCTGCTCCAAATGGCCCGTGACCAGACACCACAAGTCCTCAACCTGGATGTTCTGAGCTACAGGAGCTGTCTGTCTGGGAGCTACCGCTGCTCCTCCTCTGCTTGCACGGAGACGGCAGCAGCAGCAGAGGCCATTCACATCTCAGGTGGACACTTCCCAGGGTGCAAGAACAATATGCACTAGTATTCAAAGTACTTCAAATGCCTTTTAAAAGAAAGGTGCCATTAAAAGCAACCTCCCGTTCCTCTAAGACACCTCCAGAACTTTGTGCCAGGTCCACTACTGCCAGGTATGCCCAGAGGCGGGGGTCCTCATTCTCTTAATCTAAATACACTGTTACGAAGCGTTTGAGAACAGCTACCTCGGTTGTCAGGATATCAAATACGGTACCGATTATTTTGGTGCCTTTCCCCCCTTTTCCCTGCCTTACAACGCAATGTCAGTTTCTCACCTTCTTGTAGAGAGAGAAATGAATTGTTACTTTCGACACCTCTGCAACAACAGTGTAACTTCAAGCTGGATTTCATAGCCCGTAACTTTCTACAGTTTCCTCTGATTTTTCATCTAAGATTGTGTTTTTTTATGAGAAAAAGGGCAGGCAGCGGAATAAAAGCTAACCACAGAAATACATTTCAGAAGAAAGGTTTTTACTGCAGTTGCCATGAATTCTAACCTTGAGAAGTGGTGGATGGAATTGCAATGTTCCCATTTACAGAAATATCCAGCAAGCATCACAGAGATTGTAACAACAAAAAGCTCTTTTCATCTGAATATATTTTAACCACAGGAACTGAATCCAGCTCCAGGAAACAGAAATGTATACTAGTAACGGTAATTTAAGGTGCTAAAAAACCCACAAGAAATGCAGAGATTTTTGTAACAAAGGGGTTGCAAATGCTTGCAAATTTTAAGCTGAAGAACAGAAGAAAACCTTGCCTTTCTGCCTTTCTAAGACAACTTGTGCAGTTATTAGCATAGTCCTGAGAAATCAAAGGTGCTTAGATTACTTTTTTCTTTGCAGGGCAACCAGGCAGCGCTGCGAATGACAGCAATCAGGTGAGCTCTACAACTTCAATGCATGAGAAAATATAAAGGTATATTGCTTTCATAAATCTGGGCCTAAAGGCTTTGGGTAAGAATCCAGCATAAGTCAGACTAATGTAACTATTTCATTAGTTCCAGCCCAACAATAAAAGTTCCTGTTAGCAAAATTAGTCAATGAAACAAATAAACAAACCAACCCAGCAGGGAAATCTTTTGGTCCACCCCATACCTGGCACTGAGTGGGCTTTCAGGCTGGCCAAAACTAAGTTTCTGGTTTTTTTCTCAGAAGGTGTTCTTTGGCATGGGTTTTTACTTTTTCTTTTCTTTTTTTTTTTTTTTTTTTCCTTTTTGAATGTAGACTAGCAGGTTTGCAGTCAAAACCACCAGTGCAGTTAAAGTTTTTAACACTTTGAACATAACCTAACATTGAATCAAAACTAGAAATCAGATCATAACAAAGATTTCTGTTTGGAACAAGCTAATTTTAAACAAACTAGAAATGACAGTGTGGTGCTAGCAAGTGTTGATTTATCTCCCTAAAAAAAAGGAAAAAGGGAAAGAAAAAAAAATCGCCCTTGAAACCTACTCTTGTTCAAGGGTAAGAGAAACCTTAGACTATAAAATGGCCAATGCAGTTAACTGCGGACAGGCCACAACCTGGAGAACTTGAGTGCATGCAATAAATCCCGAATACAGAAACAACACTATTATTAAATTCTTAGATTTCTGAATAAATCATCCTCTCTTCTGAGAATAAAACTATCAACAAAAGCCTAAATCTATACTTGATAGGAAAGGCACAAACTTCTCATTAAGTGAAATCAATCAACCCCATTATTGAGGGAAACATCCAAATTTTAGCCCAAGTGTGTGTTGCAGTCCACAGCTGGCATAACATTCTTATTTCCAAAAAAACTACGTGACTGAATTGGAAACTTAAGCTGGAGACCTCAGTGAAGGAAAACTTGCACATCTACAAGTCAAATAATAAAATCTGTCATTTTTTCTTCTTTGAAACATTTATTTTATCAGACTTGAATAGCCCCCACTACTGTCTCATCTTTCAATACAAAAGACAGTTACACATAAAAGCAGAAATTCCCAAGTTGATTTGTAACTCTGGTTTGGATGGTAATGATGATTTGCTGTCTCTATTCTGACTGTTATCTGATATTCTGATTTGTGCTGCTATAGAGAACGTTCAGGAAACTGTGTCAACAGACGATAAAAAATTAGTAGAGGTAACTCCTAACCATTTTTTTAACACCATTTTAAAGTAGAAAAATGTTTACCTGCTCTTCAGAGACCTCAGTAGGTGGAGGTGTGTCTTGTTCAGAAGGGCGATGATCTTGATAATTCGCATTATGTCTATGACGTAAAGGAGGAAACAGTCTATTCCAGTTAATCATCCCACCCTGAAACCAGACACTGCTGTCAGTCTTTGCAAAAAGAACTACAGATATTTTTAAACAAAAAGATCATACATCCCACATAATACGAAAGGCAAAAGTTTGAGTAAAATGTTGAACAACAAAATCTGCTGCAGTCTCTTATGAAGTCAAAATCGGGACTGGTTACTGCTTCACTAGTCATTAGACGTAATCACTGTAAATTAAGGAGAAGTGCTAACAGGAGGAGGAAAGGGTGTTTCACATGCATTGTGGAGGATCTGGTTTACTACAGTACGAGACTTCTGAGGCTGAAGGCCCTGCTCGCTTTGCCCGGGATTTGCCTGGCCAGAGATGCAACAGTGGGTCCCGCAAGTGCTTTGCAGGACCACCGCTGGAGTTAATCGGGGAAAAAGAGTGCAAGAAATAAGTGGGGGGGAAAATGGATTCTCAGTGCATCAGCAAGGCCACATCAGGAAACTCAGAACAAGCCCGACCTTCGGGATAGCTGTGATTTCCACGCAGGCGAGGACTTCTGTGACACTAATGCAACTGTTACAGACACGCAGAGCACCTCACTTAACTCCTGCATGTTAAATACCGTTGCAAAATCTGGCCATATTCCAACGCCAAAACATTTTGTAACTATTTGTAATAATACAAATACAGCAGTGATGTATGTGCTGTGTAAATCACAGAACCGAAACTTCCTTTTAACAGCCAAGCTTCCAGTCTTGTAATAAGATGTTTAGAATATAAAGTACAAATACTAAAGTACAAGCTTTCTAATTGTCCACAAATAATTAATCCTCATTTAATAGCTTAAACAAACATTTTTTTTTGTATCACACCAAAACCACAGACCCTGCAAGCAGGGAAGAACAGCAAACCTCAAATCTCTCTTTTGTATACAATTTGTTAAAATGCCTTTTGCAGTTTGTGTTGTCCTTTTCCCCCTCCCCTGCTCCCTCTGTTACTATGGAGAAGATCCCCCTCCCTTTCTGTATATATAGGACATGGACTTCCTTCCTCTAGTTGCTCTATTTTAGCTCTATACTGTCGTTTCTCAGAAGACCTTCCTCTTAAAAGAGGGGTTTTTTTCTTTTTTTTTTCTCTCTCAGCAAGCCTTCTTCCTGCCTTTATGTACCCCTAGAGAATTAAATGCTGTCTGCTCAATCAGATCAGCAGCAGATAAACCTGCTCCTAGACAAAAAAAACCACCACCACCCAAACCAAACATGTTTGTTTAGTTTTCTTGCCCTTTCTTTGTTTTCTTCCCTTCCCTGCAGAGGAGACCCCGCCAGCCCAGACACCACAGGGGGCAGTGCAATAGCACGCTTACAAAAGCACTGGCGGAGTCACGAGATTTGAAATGCTAGCTTGGAAAGCGTTCCGGTCCCATAGCGCATTTGTCCCTGTGAAGATGTGCAATAGCTAGGAGTCATCACTGGTTTTCAAGACATAATTTCCACTGTTAGTGATTTTGAATTTACAACATGATTACGTATCTACATTTCTATTTTGCGCGCTGTATAAAACGTTCGGTTAAAAGTCATGAGTTTTTAACCAAAGGATTTTGTATAAGCTTTGCGTCAGCCAAACAGCGGAGCGCAGTAAAAAGGAGAATTGGTTTGTAGTTTAAACCCAGAGAGGGATCTCAGAACCTTCTACTGACACCGCTGCTATACTCTGTGGCCTTGGAAAATCACACATCCTGTACTTCCCCATCTATAATTTCCCCCAACTCAGAATTATATTGAGTTTTAATTCATTAACTTTGAATTTCCAAAAGTCTATTAAGTTCTACAGTTCAGCAAGAACACTGCACTAATGCTGCTTTGATTGTTTTTACTCTTTTGAAAGACCCGAGGGGGAGAAAATAATGTTTCCTTAAATTGGTGAAATGAAAAATGCTAACAGGACTATGTCATGTTTCTTTGTCAGAAGTCACACAGAATAATGTGTATGATATATAAAACCTGCAATAAATGAATGAATTTAGCAGTATTCCAGTGTATGTGAAGACTGAAATAAACGTACCTTTCCAGCCATGCTCTCAGCTTTACTACTGAGCTTCCTATTCCAGTTTGGTTTTGCATCTTCTCTGTCCTGTGTGCTGTCACATAACACTACAAAGAGACTTGTCTACCTCCTTACTCTAAACTCACAATGCATTTTAAATTAATGCATACAGAATTCATTACTTTCAGTAAAAACATGCAGATTCCTTACTAAGTTAACTATTTCGTTTTGAAGGTTTACAGCGGATGTCTTGATAAACTATAGATATAGTGATATATTCAGAAGAGTTCCATGTGAAGACTACTAACCCTTTCCTGGAAAAAACAGACTAGACAAATTAGATCAAAATAGTTGTGAAAAGATCTTTTTCAGTTGCCCTCAGAATATTTCAGTTATCTTTGAAAACTGTGACAAACATAACCCATCGGTTCTTAAGTACATTAACGAGGTAAGCATATCCAACATGAAACAACGGTAAGTATTAAAGGCTGAAACTCTTAATGGTATGTGTACACTGATGTTTAGGATTAATCCTAACATTACGGTCTACTTTCTCATCTGTGATGAGAAAGTTTACAAACTGCACCAAACCCAGGCACATTAAACTTTTTTTATCCTTAACTGCAAGAAAATTGATTCCCCTCATTGACTTGCCTCTAATTATGTGATGGACATGCACCAAGTCGGGCTCAGAAGAGCAGAGACTCAGGGAACTGCAGCAGGAACTCTGGGACTGGTATTTGTGGTCAATCCCGTAGAGTAAAGGTAAGGAAAAATGAGGATGTGCAGCTAATGTCTTAGATCCACAGAAGACAGAGATCAAGGCTTTCCAGAGTGGATGGTGAATGCGTAAAGACTTTCAGACAACCTTAACTATCACAGCAGAAATACATGTAGATCTGTGAATTTTAATTTGACTCAAAGCAAACAGCAAGAAAATGTCTTAAGTAAATATTGCAAATTCCAGTTAAAAAATGTGCCAAAGGAGATTTCCAGACTAATACTCCACTTTGTCTCACAGAAATTATTTTGCTGACAATGATGATTTCTGTATTACAGTGGGTTTTGACCATGCTAACACACTCACTCTGCGAGAAGTCAGGAAGATTTCACATGAAGATATCTAATCTGATGAATTTAAGTGATGCTTCTAGGCCATCTGAGAGACCCTACTGGGGATCAGCAAACTAAGCCACAAATCCAGATCGCCAGGCAAATCCACAGTTGTGAGGCAGGTGTAAGATCAAGCCTACAAGTCAAGTCAGTGGGTCAGGAGCAGGGAGGGAGGGAGACAGACGGCTGGACACACGCATGTCCACAAAGCAGCTCAGCAAGGACCGAGAGCAAGGACCTGAACTTAAAAGCAACTCCCAGTCAGAGTGGCTGAGGCCCCAACAAGGCTTTTCGCACGTATTTCTAACCACAGCTCTCTCTCACACGAGTCTGCTCCAAAGCTGAAGAGCTGTACTGTACCAGAGCTGGTTCTCGGCACCAAGAGCCTATTGGTGCACTCGGGGACGTGACATTATAAACCAACACCTTCCCCCATTCAGTGCTCTGGACAGTAGCCACCTGTCGCGTTATCTACGCTACTTGTTCACTGCTATTTCCTTAGTCCAAATTGTCCATGTCCAATTGTGTGAATGCTGCATAATTTACTATAGCAAAAGGAGTTGTTATTACTTCTTTTTACCATATTTAACTCCTCCATTGCTTTGTTTATGCTGCAGGATGAGAGGCTGGAGGAGGCCTCTGCTTATGGTGTGAAAACAGCACCAAGCTCACCGTAGTCAAGAGGCAGAAGGTTCCCATCAACTTGCATGTGCTGGTCCCAGTGTCTGCAGTGGGAAGCTATGAAGAACTTCTAGTCTCCATTGCCAGCTGTCATACTTGTTTTCATGGCATTTATCAGAAACTGTGTTTCAGAAGCCCTGACTGCTGCGCTATTAGACGGGGACAAGCACTAAAGAAAATCAGTCTACAATCATTCATAAAAATACTTTGTACGAATTGGTGACTGGGCCCTTATTTCTGTCTGCAACATAGCCTTCCACATGTCATGGGGGGAAAAAACACTTGACAAAGAGGCTGCTTCATTAATTAGTTGAATAGAAGGGTGATGGACACACCTAAGAAAGGCCTGTAAGCCTTTCCTCCTCCCTTACTTCTCAGGTTGTAATTTTTTAACTCAAGAAAAATTCTGTTTCCTTTGGTGAAATGCAAAGCAATTTCCTTTTTTTTTTTCTTTCACTGCGGTTGTTATGTTAAGAAAAGGTGAACAAGACAGATACGAAGAGGTGCTTTTCATTTTCCATTTCACTGGATTCACCAGTGCTGGGTGAATCTATTGATTGTAAATTTTTTTTGTTACTGCCTGGTAGGAGACAAAAACACCAAGAAGACCATTTTATTGGCCTCTGATAAATCACTACCAGAAGTGGATTAGAACACCGGTGATGTTGGAATTTCTGTTACAGGAAGATGACAAACCAGTCACAAGTTCAGATGACTGAAGAATGAGATTTAAAAACAGACTGGAATTGGATTAAGGGAATGGGAAAATGGCAGCTCTTCATCACTTTATTGTAAGGAAATACCATATTGATGACTTCTTCTTGGATAGCTGCCAGGGCGTTACATACTGAAGTTGTGCCTTATGAGGTCACATCCTTGATGTCTTTTTTCTTTTGGGTTGTTGTGTTTGTTGTTTTTTTTTCTTTTTATGGTGCCTAGGACAATGCTGTTTACAAGGAAAGGAGTATCCTCCTTTCCTACAGAATAAGAAAGAGATATTCATGCCAGTCTAGAGCTAGCAAATGTCTCTGATGGTACAGCTTGCTAAAACCCCGTTTCTTTTCACGTAATCTCCTCCCTCTCTTTTTGAAAAGGCAGCTCTACCTGCTTCCCTTATACATACCTGTCCTAGCACAGTTTGTAAAACCACTTCTTATCCAAAGCTTGACAATTAAAAATGTTGTATTATGGACAATTAACACATATCCATT